TTCCAAATCCAGATCAGATGAAGATCATTTATGGACGCTGGAGACACTGCAAGAGGAGAACGGAAACCTTTACGAAGGGATGGACGTTGTGGTGAGGACCAATGAAAGGGAAGAAGCGAGTCAAAGACTGAGCAATTCTTCCTCGGAAGAGGAGGAGTTAAATTTAGATGGGGCACAAAGAAACGCAGACAACGTTTTGTTCCAGGTATCTTCCAAGGAAGTGGAGAACCGTTCAAATGTTGATGATGAAACAGGAGATTTGGAGAAAAACGTTCTCAGCTGCCTTGTTCTTCATCTCCAGGAAGAGGAAGAGAGCGACGTGGAAGTGAGCAACCCACTTTCACTAAAGGAAAACAGCCCAGCCAATTGTAATCTAAGCAGTCTGAATTGTGGTGAATCAGAGTCAGACCAAAAACAGTTATCAACAACAATGAGGCCACAGTTTGCAGAGATGGAGGCACTGGAGTTGGCAGGCAGTGAGGAAAAGAGAGAGGAGAATTTGAATGGGAGCAAAACGAAAACAAATCTGGAGGAAGTACAGTTGCCACACAATGACTCAGAAGAACAAGAATGGACTGTGCAAGCAACAATACCCTCCGTGCCTATCAGATTGGGCCAGGACACACTCGGTTCTTTGGAAAACAGTTTGGCCCTTTCTGGTTTAAACAATGACAGTTCTGGAGAATTTGCTTTCTCTTTCAAGGAGGTGTCCTCAGCAGATCACTCTCCAACATCAGCTTGTGCGTTGCCTGAACCTTGTGTCCAAACAACCACTAGAATGATCCCTGCAGGGTTTCAGACAGATAGTGGAAGCCCAAGGACACAGGCTGCCATATATCACAGCTCTGGACAAGTGGAACACTCTGGCATCTATGACAAAGAGAGCAAAATGTCCTGTTGTGATCAAGATGGCTCACAAACCACTGTAGATGTTGGAAAAGAGGACACTGGAAATGAAAATATAAGGAGTGCTGATGGTGAACAAGTAACACAATTGTTTACAGATGTAGCATTAGGCATCAACACCCAACATCTTCATGACTCCCAACCTGTGGGCTTTTCTTCTGATTCTGACCAGAATCCTGTCCCATCACTGAGGACAATAGCAGCAGCCCGTCTGCGAGAAGATCCTAGCGAGGGAGCCACGGATGGGACTGTCACTTGTGCAGGAGATGAGTCAGGTTTACATTTGTCCAGTCAACTGGACAGAGCGAGATGTGATGAAGATTCAGCAGTGGACAGTGATGGAGATGGTCATCTGCCCGCTTTTGGTGAGGACTTCCTTGAAGACATTCAGAGTTCTACCTCCAGAATCCTCCCCAACCCATCTCTAGAAGAAGGCCTGTCCAATATAGCCAAAGAGATGATAACGTTGAGTCTGTCTTCCTGGGGTTCAGCGCAAGACACTGCTGAAAACGATGTGAAGTCCCATCAACAGCTGAAACCCACAATGGAGGATGCCGGGTTGTCGGGGAAGGAAGCAGCAGCAGAGACACATTGCGTGGCACAAGATAGCTTAACCAGTGAGTCACCCTGTTTTTCAGTTCTTGGAAAAGAGAGAACAGAATGTGACTCTGAAGCTGACAGCCTTCCATCTTGCTGGACTCTCTTTGCAAAAACCACTGATGCGGCTCAGCTAGCACAACCTTTGGCGCCACTTCTAGTGGGAGACTCTGAGCAAACTTTGGCCCTTGAATATGTTTCGCTCTTATCTTCTAGGCAGCCTCTCCAGTTTGTAAGCCCCCCACCCATGGCAAATGCCCAGCCAGTTCCCCCAGGCCTTAATCCCAGAGGTCCTGCCCAACTTCTAGAACAATTGTCCTCTTCCAGCCAGGTTAATCCATTAGCCCCCAAGTCTTCTGCCAATCAGACTGTTTCAGAGCCTTCACCCTTAGCCCCTGAAAGCAGATTATCTGAGCAGCTTTCCACCTCTGAAAGGGACTCGGATCCGTACTGCCAAGTTCCACGTTCTGTACACCACTCTAGGCAGTCTGTACCGGTGCCACGCCATGCCAGTTCACCCGTTCTGCCTAGACGTTCTGTCTTTCCTTCACTTAGTAGCAGTGCAGCTTCCCAGCGGAATAACTCTAAACAGACCACACAACCTGCAGCTGCTGGAGCAGGCCACAACTTCCTGACACAACCTCCACAGATTGCTGTGAGCAGGGGGTCTCAGAGTTCCCGATCAGATTCCACTCCCAGGAAGCATCTCACAACCCCTCCGCACAGCGGAGGCAACCCCTCTGCACAGCGGAGGACCGAGGCTTCAGAAAGCAGCCCACTTGACTTCCGTACAGGAAGTGAGGAACAGATACCTCCTAGTCCACC